TTATTTTTTTACCCCGGCAGTTGGTAATATAACTTTTTTACATATAAGGGATGTGATATTTGTCGATTTTTTTAATTAGTAATTTGTTTTTCTCAGTCCATTTCAATGCGTGTCCACTTTTCTGTCTGTCTGTCTGTCTGTCTGTCTATCTATCTATCTATCTATATGCAAGTAAATCACTGTAGGTGCTGATAACCACAAGGAAAGAATAAAACACTTAGGCCAGACAGGTAAAGATCTTGCAACTAGAATTAAACAACACAAATATAGTGTTAGGACAGGCCAGGAATCCAATGCTCTGTTTGTTCATTTGAGGGATAACAAGCATTGCATTGACTGGGATAATGCCTCCTCAATATTACCATGTAATTCAATTGATAGTAGGAACATCATAGAATCTAGTCTTATTAAACATACCGAAGCATTCAACATGAATTTGAGTAATGACATGTACAAACTGGACAATTTTGTAATTAAGAAGATTTGTAACCAGGTGAGAAGGCCGGGTCACCTGACCATCTGACCTGACCACCAACCGTTGTGTGCTATTTAAAGATTAGTAGGGTCATTACCTAATACCTGACCATTGTGGACCTGGTCTCACCCTCCTCTGTATATATACACCTTGGTTTGTATTTCTCCTTGGTCTGTACTCACAGACTAGAGAGAGTAATACAAATCAAGGTGTATATATACAGAGGAGGGTGAGACCAGGTCCACAATGGTCAGGTATTAGGTAATGACCCTACTAATCTTTAAATAGCACACAACGGTTGGAGGTCAGGTCAGAGGGCAAGGTGACCCAACCTTCTCACTTATCGATGTTTAGATGTATATACTCGACTGTATAAATTATGTATATTAAACTATAAACATTTCACTTCGTTCCCGCGAAGTGTAAACTTATGCAGGAAATAACTTAAGACACCATCAAGGAACGAGACAGGTAAATATTCTGTCGTAAATACCTGGCTGGTCGTAACCTAACCTAACCAACATTATTGATTAACTTACGACAAAAAAATACAAGAATGACATTAATATTATACAAATTTTTAACCTTAACTAGATATAGACGTTAACTTAGCATTCGTTGCATTAAAATTTTGTTTACTTAATAATATTAGGAGAAAAAAGTATCGTATGGAATTTCTTAGAATATTTTCACTTACGGGAAATTTAACTTTTATCGTATTTAGTTAATTCTCAATGTGATTTTAATGTTAGTAATTTATTTTTTTTAGTATTTTACCTTAATTTCAGCAATTTAATTTTAACTTACGAGGAATTTTATACGAGTATTTATCAACCTTGACTTAGAGAATTACTGATGAAATTAAATAAAAATATCAAGTGAAAGACAATGTCATAAAATAGATAAACAAAGTAAACAAAATTAAGTGTAAACAATGAAGTTATATTTAATTACTCATTTTATTGTTTGTAATTTGTTTATTTATTTGCGCGGGAAAAAGACGTGGTTGAAGGTAATTATGACAGGTGTTGGAGGTAATTATATGACAGGTGTTGGAGGAAATTATGACAGGTGTTTGAGGTAATTATATGACAGGTGTTGGAGGTAATTATATGACAGGTGTTTGGAGGTAATTATATGACAGGTGTTTGAAGGTAATTATATGACAGGTGTTTGAAGGTAATTTTATGACAGGTGTTTGAAGGTAATTTTATGACAGGTGTTCAAAATTGTCATGGGTGTGTCATATATGCCAAGGATCTTCGTGATGCGTCAGAGCTGTGTTAAGGCTGTGTCAAGGATGTTTCACGTATACCAAGGAAGTGTCAAGGGTATCCTGACATAAATGGCACCAGCGGATTATTATTGACCATTTCTGTAACCAAATCCGTCTTGAGCTGCCCGAATCCAGAGGCGTTGAGCTTGGTGAGTTGTCCAATCCTTTCTTGGTTGTGTGACGTACGTGTGTGTGTGTGACTGTCCATTTGCTAAGCTTCATGGTTCAGTCTCTTCCTGTTGTGTAAAAGAAATAATAAAAAAGTCCATAACTGAAAAATATTAACAGTAATAGAGAGAGAAAACGTGACCAAGGGAATATAATTAAATAAAATGGGTACTGTATTATGGTCTGGACTTAATTAGAGAAAATGGCAAGTTAATGGGATACTATACAAAAATATGGTTCAATAATTTGCTTAATGATTTACACAAAAGTACATAATTTCAGAATATATAAGAGCGAATTACTGCATAAATTAAAACTACCAATTTAAATGGGAACTTTACCCTATTAAGTCTATTATCTTAGGCCTATTAGCTTAGTAGACCTAAAATAATCCTCCATTTTATAGTCAGGTTCATCACAGACAAACCAGGAGAGAGAGAGAGAGAGAGAGAGAGAGAGAGAGAGAGAGGCGAAAGAATTCAAACATCATATGGTATATAAATCTAATATTTCATGTGATATACACCTTTTAATGGGATCCAACCCTTAATAATGGGATGGAACCTCTTTATTTATCGGAGTCATACCCACAATAGTGAAACCTAATCCTCTGTGAAGGAAGTCAACCCTTTACGGTGGGATCCAAAGTTTAATAATGAAATTGAACCCTTTATACTGTTGTGTAACTCTTTAAAATGGAATCGAACTCCCTATAATGGGATCAAACTCTAAATACCGGAATCAAATCCTTTATAACACAATTCAACCCCCTTTTTATGCGATTTAATACTCTATAATGGCATCAGCTCTCCTATTATTGAAATTTAATCCTCTATAATGTGATCCAACCTCTTGTTTAATGAGTTCCAGATCATTATAAAGGAATCTAGGCGTTTTAGAAATATACTTTAACTAAGTCTGAAGTCGACAAATAACTCTTAAAGCAACGGATTAAATTAATCGGTAACTCCTTATCTCGTTAATCACAAGGTAAATATATGTTTAAACAATATTAGAGGCGATGTTTACTACAAGTCGTCAAAAACATCATCGATTAATTTGGCTAAGAACACGGGGGTGACGGGGGCTGGGAGGAGGAAGGCAGGGGCTGGGAGGAGGGAGAACGCGGGGGATGGGAGGAGGAGGAACGCTGGGGCTGGGAGGAGGAGGGGGCTGGGAGGAGGGAGGAGGCTTGGGGGGAGGGAGATCGCGGGGTTAGTGGGAGGATGTCGGTAGGGGGTAGTCACGCGGCACCTGGCGAGAGTAAGCGCAAATTTGTTTACCATCAAGGGGTAAGCCAAGGACAGGTAGATCCGCTCGACGCTTCCTCCGCCCCCTGAGGCCCTAGAGGTGACCCACAGCCAATAGGCAAGATTGGCTTATTCCTTTAGTAGCGTCTTCAATGCAGTTATGGGTTTTCGCTGGTGCACGGGGAAGGGAGGAAGAGGAGGAGGGAAAGAGAGGAGGGGGAGAGGGAGAGCAGGCGAGAAGACCTAATCGACTGGCCGACCAATGCTTCATTCTCAACCGAGCTTCCCAAGGTAGGAGACATTAGTTCACGATTGTCACCGCAAGATTCTTTGACTCACGTTTATTTGTTTTTCTTATCTCCTGTATCTAAGGGATGAGAACACCAATAACATTTAGAGTCTCAGTGCAAATACGACGCCATCTTTGTGTATGTACCGTAGATAATTTTTTTTTTATTACCGTAGATAAATAAGTGTTTTGTCGTTACTGAATTAAGTTGATATGTACGAGAAACCTCAATCATTCTCTGGACGACACATAGATGGCACTGAACGTACACTAAGACTCTTTACTGTCATTCTATACTGCAGTTCGTTGTTTAATTATGAGGAATATGTTAACGTATAGGAATTATTTGACAGTCTTGGTAGGTCGTTTTAAGTGTTTTAGTGCCCGAGTGTGTGTTGATAGTTAAGTGTTGATAGTTAAGTGTTGATAGTTAAGTGTGTTTATTGAAGTGTGTTATTGAAGTGTGTTACTAATGAGGTAGCTATACTAGTGAAGTGCTTGTAGTTAGCTGTGTGTTTGAAGTGTGTATGTTGAAGTGTTGTGACTCCCTTCATCCCTCCCTTTCGTCTTCCTCCCTCCACTCCCCCATTCTCTCTCCTCCTTTCAAGAACCAACTCTCTCTCTCTCTCTCTCTCTCTCTCTCTCTCTCTCTCTCTCTCTCTCTCTCTCTCTCCTTCCTTCCTTCCCCCTCCTCCCTCTTTCTTCACCCCTCCTCTCCAAGAACAAATCTTTCCTCCCTCCCTCTCCCCCCACTTTCCCTCCTCCCCTCTCTCCCATCTCTCTCCTTCTCCCTCCCTCCCTTTCTCTCTCTATCCCTCTCTCTCTCTCTCTCTCGTCCCCCCTCTTTGCCGTAAGCACTGGATGACCTATCTAGCGGTAACATCTTTGCCTACTTGTTACCAGGGGCTTCCTTTAAGTGTGTGTGTGTGTGTCTTATCCGTGTTATGAAATGTTACCTGTAAGTGTTTGGTTACCTGTGTGTGTTACGTTACCTTACCTGTGTGTGTGTGTGTGTTACGTGTGTTATGTTACCTGAGTGTGTTACGTTTGTTAGCTCGTATGTTACCTTTAGAAAAAGTAGTAGTTTTAAAATTATATATTTGTTTTGGGTGAAAGTATTATTATATACTCTCGTAGTGTTGGTATGTGTAATGAAAGTTTATAAACACAAATTATGAAAGTTTTGATATTTTCTTTATACATTCGTAGTGCTGGTGTGTAAAGTAGGGAAAGTTTATATACAAATTAAGACTAATTTTGACGATATTTGTAGTCTCTGTGTATACTTTCGTAATAGTAATTTGTATATATGAGAAAGTATGTTATGACATGAGAAAGTTTATTTATACAAATCATAAAAGTTTGAAAGTTTTGATAAAAGTCTGTGTATATACTTTCGTAATTAATATTTTTTTGTAATAAGGAAAGTATATATAAGAAAGTATAAAAGTTGTAAGTGTGTGTGTGTGTGTGTGTGTGTGTGTGTGTGTTATACTCGAGAAAAAATATATATGTATCTTAAACCATATATGTGTTTCTCCTTCAGATACATAACATCTACTGCCTGATTGTGTGTCTTGTATGTAACGTGAATCAGCCAAACAACCAATCAACTAGTCAACTATTAGAAGGCCCAATCATCTTAGCAGCAACATGTTGAACAAATCACCATTAAATTGACCTAATTGTAACAGGCAATTACTGTGATCAGACAATCCTATGTTACTTAACTAATTACAAAAGACTGATTTCATGATAATCAATGAACTAACTATCGTTAAAGAGGCAATTATCTGTGGCTAATTGTCGTTTTTATATGTTAATCTTATCACTAATCACTGGACAACAAAGGTGATTTAATTTATTTTTTTGGTAAGATATCGCATGACCTCCAGCCTCGGACAGACCCGCCCCTCCCAGAATGACTCGTCAGGTTGGGTCATGTAGCTGGGATGAAGGTCACATGGTTAAGCTTGGGCACTATCTTCCTATGTCCTCGCCTCTGACCACCCCCATGCCCGTGTCCGTCAAACCCAGTACACCCACGGTAATGAATCCATCCAATCCCATGTCCATTACCCACGACAGACCCACATCACCCATGTTTAGAACGCAGACTGTGACCACTCCCAGCCCTCAGTCCACACCCTCGTTACCAAGGTCTTCTCCCTGGGACACAGCTAAGAGCAGAATGGTACAGTTTAATAGCAAGTGCGGTGCTAACTGTAGGCACGCTGGTCGCTCGTCCACTTCAGGGGGCAGTCCGGAAAGCAGTGAACCCAACAGTCCAACAATCAGTCGTATGGACAATCACAGTCAGAACTGCAACGTCTCCGCCAGTCAACCAATGGATATCCCAACACCCAAGCGTGGAGTCAGTCCAGTCTGTAATTATTTGGACAATTCATCAAGGCACCGCCGAAGCAGTCTTATTGCCAGTCAGGGCAGCATTGCAGTCACCAGTCCGCCAATGCGCCGTCGAAACAGTCTGATTGCCACTCAGAGCAGCTTTAAAATCACCAGTCCACCAATGTGCCGTCGAAACAGTCTGATTGCCACTCAGAGCAGCTTTAAAATCACCAGTCCACCAATGTGCCGTCGAAACAGTCTGATTGCCACTCAGAGCAGCTTTAAAATCACCAGTCCACCAATGCGCCGTCGAAACAGTCTGATTGCCACTCAGAGCAGCTTTAAAATCACCAGTCCACCAATGCGCCGTCGAAACAGTCTGATTGCCACTCAGAGCAGCTTTAAAATCACCAGTCCACCAATGCACCGTCGTAACAATGTACTTGCCACTCAGAGCAGCTTTAAAATCACCAGTCCGCCAATGCGCCGTCGAAACAGTCTGATTGCCACTCAGAGCAGCTTTACGATCACCAGTCCGCCAATGCGCCGTCGAGGCAGTCTGCTTACCAGTCAAAGTCACATTTTGGCCACCAACCCGCCAGTTACATGCAAGACCCCAGTCTCTGGTGACAGTTGGGAACCTCGGTCAAACTGTCAGTCAGATTATTGCTCAGAGGACTCAAGAAGTTCATCGAACAGTCCAGTGCACCAGTCAAAGAATGAAGTGAGTAGTGAACAAGACAGTCCAGTGCACCAGTCAAAGACTACAGGAACTGGTAAGCAAGGCAGTCCAGTGCACCAGTCCAAGACTACAGGAACTGGTAAGCAAGACAGTCCAGTGCACCAGTCAAAGACTACAGGAACTGGTAAGCAAGACAGTCCAGTGCACCAGTCAAAGACTACAGGAACTGGTAAGCAAGGCAGTCCAGTGCACCAGTCAAAGACTACAGGAACTGGTAAGCAAGACAGTCCAGTGCACCAGTCAAAGACTACAGGAACTGGTAAGCAAGGCAGTCCAGTGCACCAGTTCAAGACTACAGGAACTGGTAAGCAAGGCAGTCCAGTGCACCAGTCAAAGACTACAGGAACTGGTAAGCAAGGCAGTCCAGTGCACCAGTTCAAGACTACAGGAACTGGTAAGCAAGGCAGTCCAGTGCACCAGTTCAAGACTACAGGAACTGGTAAGCAAGGCAGTCCAGTGCACCAGTCCAAGACAGGTAAGCACCGCGACAGTATCGAAAGCTTATCAAACAGCAGCAGGAGTAGTAGTACCAGCGATCTCTCAGGAAGCAGTAGCCTACGTAGCAGTTACACTCGTCCAAGAAACAGTAGGAGTGGCAGCAAAAGAAGCAGGACCCTAGAGAACACCAGCGCCTCTGACACGACCATTGTGAATTCATCTTTTGCTGTTCCGTCTGGGAGGAAGACTAGTGTCAGCCCTGCTCCTCGAACACAAAAATCGAGAAAGGAAATCAATGCCGAAAGGGACATGCAAAAAGAGTTCAAGGGTCTCCTCATTACTGCTGTAAAAGGTGACCAACAGAAAAATATCAAGGAGTCGCCTGTTGCTTCCGAAAGAGACCAACAGAAAGTCACAGCAGAATCTCCCATTTCTGCTGTGGGTAACCAACAGGAAGGCATCACTGAACCTCCCATTGCTGTCGAAGGTTACCAACAGGAAAGCATCAGAGGGCTTCTGGTTTCTGGCAACAATGACCTTCCGCATTTTGGTAAACACCAGAGCGAGACTGACAAGTCGAGAAAATCCAATAGCGTTAATGGCGTTGAAACCAAGAGCACAGACTCCAGCGACAATACGAAGTCGATGGCTGATAGTGAGAAGAAAACAACAGCTGCCACTGGGAACATTGACACGATGATCGAGAACTTAAACAAATCCAGAAGAAGCACTGGTAACGTCAATGGCAGGTCCAGAAGCATCATCGACGACATTGTTAGGTCAAAGAACATCACTGAGTCTGGAAGAAAGTCGAAGACGTTGATTGATATCGAGAAGAAGACGAGAAATTTGTCTGATATTGTGAAGTCGAAGAGCTTTACCGATTATACGAGGAAGCCCAAAGTGTCATCTGATGAGACAAAGAAGCCAAAGGTTTTAACTGATGATGCAAAGAAGCTTAGGAGCTCGGTTGATGACACAAAAACGAGAAGAAGCGTGTTTGACGACATGAAGAGGTCCAAGAGCGTGTCTGATGATGCCAGAAAGACAAAATACTTATCTGAAACACCGAAGAAACCAACCAACGACATGAGAAGGCCGAGAAGCTTGTGTGACAATACCAGAAAGCCAAAAAGCTTATCTGAAGACTCGAAGAAGTCCAAAAGTACATCCGACACAAAATCAAATACCTTGACTGCCGCAATACAGAATTTCAAGAGCTCAGCCGATGTTGGCAAGAAGTCGCCAGGTGTGTCCAGTGAGGTGCAGAAGACTCGGAGTTTGTTTAGTGGTGATGAAGATGGCAGCAAACCAAAGACTATTCATAATAAGGTGAGAAAACAAAAGACCTCGAGTGATGACCTCAGGAAGATAAAGGTTAGTAATGGTTCAAACAGAGAGACAAGCCTGAATGGCATCGCAAACAGACCAACAACCCTCAGTAACAACAAAACAAACAGGGTGACGAGCAACACTCTCAACAAAAACAATCCACTGATTATCATCGGTGATGTAATCAAGAGCGAGGTCAGTGGGAACGATGAGGTAGATGGGTTAATGACAGGATGGGCCATGTCAGACAGTGGAATTATGACAGGAGATGAAGATAATTCGCCGATGGAATTTCTGCACATCCCAAGCATAGTTGTCGAAAACACAGCAGCGACTGATGACGAGGACAAATCAACGATGAGGACTGAAGATAGGTCATGGCTCAGTGAAGCACAGCTTCAAGCTACAGATGATGAAGATAGGTCATGGCCCAGTGAAGCACAGCTTCAAGCTACAGATGATGAAGATAGGTCATGGCCCAGTGAAGCACAGCTTCAAGCTACAGATGATGGAACTGAAGATAGGCCATGGCCCAGTGAAGCACAGCTTCAAGCTACAGATGATGAAGATAGGTCATGGCCCAGTGAAGCACAGCTTCAAGCTACAGATGATGGAACTGAAGATAGGTCATGGCTCAGTGAAGCACAGCTTCAAGCTACAGATGATGAAGATAGGTCATGGCCCAGTGAAGCACAGCTTCAAGCTAGATGATGGAACTGAAGATAGGCCATGGCCCAGTGAAGCACAACTTCAAGCTACAGATGATGGAACTGAAGATAGGCCATGGCCAGTGAGCTACGGATGAAGAGAAGATGGGTCATGGCCCAGTGAAGCACAGCTTCAAGCTACAGATGATGAAGATAGTCATGGCTCAGTGAAGCACAGCTTCAAGCTACAGATGATGAAGATAGGCCATGGCCCAGTGAAGCACAGCTTCAAGCTACAGATGATGAAAATAGGTCATGGCCCAGTGAAGCACAGCTTCAAGCTACAGATGATGGAACTGAAGATAGGCCATGGCCCAGTGACAACTTCAAGCTACAGATGATGGAACTGAAGATAGGCCATGGCCCAGTGAGCACAGCTTCAAGCTACGGATGAAGAAGATAGGTCATGGCCCAGTGAAGCACAGCTTCAAGCTACAGATGATGAAGATAGGTCATGGCCCAGTGAAGCACAGTTTCAAGCTACAGATGATGGAACTGAAGATAGGTCATGGCCCAGAAGCACAACTTCAAGCTACAGATGATGGAACTGAAGATAGGCCATGGCCCAGTGAAGCACAGCTTCAAGCTACAGATGATGGAACTGAAGATAGGCCATGGCCCAGTGAGCACAACTTCAAGCTACGGATGAAGAAGATAGGTCATGGCCCAGTGAAGCACAGCTTCAAGCTACAGATGATGAAGATGGGTCATGGCTCAGTGAGCACAGCTTCAAGCTACAGATGATGAAGATAGGCCAGTGAAGCACAGCTTCAAGCTGCAGATGATGGAACTGAAGATAGGCCATGGCAGTGAAGCACAGCAAGCTGGATGATAGGTCATGGCAGTGAAGCACAGCTTCAAGCTACAGATGATGGAACTGAAGATAGGCCAGTGGCATGGCCAGGCTCAGTGAAGCACAGCTTCAAGCTACAGATGATGAAGATAGGTCATGGCCCAGTGAAGCACAGCTTCAAGCTACAGATGATGGAACTGAAGATAGGCCATGGCCCAGTGAAGCACAGCTTCAAGGTACAGATTTTGAAGATAGGTCATGGCCCAGTGAAGCACAGTTTCAAGCTACGGATGATGAAGATTGGCCATGGCCCAGTGAAGCACAGCTTCAAGGTACGGATGATGAAGATAGGCCATGGCCCAGTGAAGCACAGCTTCAAGGTACGGATGATGAAAATAGGCCATGGCCCAGTGAAGCACAGCTTCAAGGTACAGATTTTGAAGATGGGTCATGGCCCAGTGAAGCACAGCTTCAAGCTACAGATGGTGAAGACAGGTCATGGGTAGGTGAAACTCAGTCTTTGGCAATGGATGATGAAATTCCAGATGGACGCTGGATAGATGATGCACTTGTAATGGACGGTGAGATAGGAGAGACTGGGCATCTGGTCATGGATAACAAGGACGACTCAGAGACAGACTGTGAACACGAGCTCTCCAGAGGCAACGTGGAGGAGAATGACATGTGGGAGAACTTCCAGCTAGTGCCATCTAGTCCTACCACCCAGATACAGCCCTACAAAAGAGTCTCTAGGGAAGGCAGCATGTTTGACACGGACTGGATGAGTCAAAGCTGGCACGGGTGTGAGGAGTTCATGGACGGCAACTTTGACATGGCTATGGAGTCGGGAGAAGTTTCTCAGCGTCACCTGTACAGTACCTACAGGAAAAACAATAACAGGGAGCACAGAAGCAGGAGCAGTAGTGTTGGTAGTGACAGAAGCAGCAGTTGGGGCAGAAGGGGAAGGAGCAGGAGCAGTAGCATAAGTAGCAGGGAAGATTCGAGATGTAACAGTCGGGCGAGCAACTGTAAGGTGGTTTCCTGTTCCCGGAACTCCAGCAGCATTGATAAGGATTACGGCACCAAGGGAGGAATCTTGGACCCGTGTCCTTTGAGCCGCAGTGTCGGGGAGGAGTTCATGGGGTTCCACAGGAGGTCCATGACCAAATTCGGTAGTCTGACTAACATTTGTGACAGCTTCAGGCCTCGTGTGAGAGGCGTAAGGGACTCTTACAGCAGCAGTAGAAGTCTGGGGAACCTTCACGAGACACTGACAGGCAGTATCGCCAACCTGAAAACTGCCCGAAGCCCCATCAGGGGGAACTTTGGTGCTAAGGACGAAATCCTGGAGAAGTTGGACACCATGATGCACAAATACAAAGGCAGCAGAAGCACCTCGTGTCTCAACAAGGATCTCGCCAGGGGAAATTTTGATAAGATGGTTCCTTGGGGCAGTGTACGGAAACTGCCCGAAGGTTGGGAGAATATCAAACAGTGTGTTACCAACAAGACCACCTTGCAGGACCCCCAGGCAGTCGCTGGCATGACGTACAAAAAAGAGCGCCTGCCAGAGAAGAGAATAAGCCACAGATGGGAGAAACTCCGGCTTAAGGTGTTAGAAAAGAAGAGGAGGGTGAATAGGGATAAGGCCAACAGTGTCTTCCAGGAAGGAGGAGGAGAAGAGGAGAGTGAATGGGTGAACGCTGGAGAGGTAAAGGGTGACGCGCCATTGAAGGGCCTACAGTCTCGAACTCCTAGGTTCAGCGAGATCTTCGGTGGAAATAAAGATGTCCGTAAAGCCCGTCAAGAGATGATAGACGGGTCACGAGACCAAACAATGGGAAAGAAAAGGAAATCAAGGAAAAGGAAATCCAAGGGAATGCCAAGGTCAAAGGAAGAGAACAAGGAAAAGGGGAAGGATGATACCAAGACGATGGAATGGAAATATACCAAGTCTTTATCAGCTTCTTGTGGGATGAGTATGAATGACATAGGCATAGACCTGGTAAGGAGTAGGAGTGAAGAGGTGACGCCCCACAGTGATGCGGAGGAGAAAAACAGCCAGGAGAGTGGCATTGGGAGCAGCTTTGAGGATGAGAGCAAGTCAGGGTGCTCCTCGGCCCCGTCCTCTCCATCCACCCCAAACAAGGTGTTTGATGCCATCACACACTACCTGCACTCCTTTGACATGATGGACAGTGAGGAGGAATTAGACAGCTTCAATGAGGAAGCTGAAGTCCTTGACCCCAACGAGCTGATGCTCCTCACGGATAACGAGGACATTCCGAGCTGGAACGATCTGATAGTGTCCTACGAAGGTCATAAAGGTCCTGGAGACAGCACCGGCTGGGGTCTTCAGGATGACTATGCCGACTTTAAGCTGGATTTTTCGACAACTGAAAACTCATGTGTCAGGGACGAGAAGATTAACCAAACACTGGGCCAGCTTCTGGGCGACGATTTCCCGAGTCTAGGGAGTCTAGGGTGGGAACACGACACAGCTCAAGTACCCAATAAACATGTCCAAAACAAGACAATGAGTCTTCACTTGTCTCAGGTGCACCAAATGAAATCGAGTAAAAGAGAAGAGCAAGAGGAACCTCCAGCACCCGTTCCTGTAGATGCCATTGTTAAGAGTGTGAGCGAGGCGACTCTTGATCATCAAGATAAAGTCACCAATATGCTGGCCACCATTCGTGACGCCCTCACTGACGGAGTGAATGATAACGACACTAAGGACACAGACTTACCTGAAGAGCAGACCAACACTCCATCACCTTCCATGTCTCAAAGTGCTGATACTGCCACCCCTGAGACACCACCCACGACCCAGGACACGGAGGAAACAGGCATGGACAACCCCCGTGGCCGGAGTAGGACTAAGGAAGAAACTCGGTCAAAGGAGTCTGGCACATCAGCGGAGAGAAGTGTCAGCTGCAGCGACAACATTAAGGCGTTCCTTACGGCGAAGCCTTGTGCGGATACCCACAAGATAGGCAAGCACTCAGAGTGTGGAGACAAGCACCAGCTGGATGCCACAGCTTGTGAAGCATCCCACAATTGTCACCAAAAAGAGGACAGCTCCGGGAAGGGCAAAGCCAGCCGCCACACCTCAAAACAGAGGACCTCGCGGCGAGCTGCTGAGGCCCGTCGGAATCGTCGCCAACAAGAAGCTCGCACCACCAACTTCTGGTCCAGACTGGTACGCTATGACACGGTTGTGTAGTGTGTTGTGTAGAGTGCGTTATATTGTTACACCTGTGCGTTGTATAGGTATGTTGTTATACCTGCTCGTTGTATAGCTATGTTGTTACTGCTTTTAGTATCTGAAATCTTCTCACTGACAATAAAATTCGTATGGGTTACTCGCGCCCAAATTTGAAAGCCGAGAAAACTGCTCTTAGAGTTTTCCAACTTCAAACTTGCATAACTTTGTTGTTTTTTGAGATACAGTATTAATTGTTGATGCATTTTGAAGGTAAAGGATTGTACTTGCAGATGGTAGGTAGTGCATCATGAAGTAATGTCCTGGATTGTTGCAATGTTGACTTGAAGCAACGAAACTCCCACCCGCTTTTGGCTTTTTTTACTTTAATGGATATCAGAGTGTAGATCCCGCCACAACAAAAGAGAACTGAGGGACAGGGAAAGAGGGATTCCGTGCTCATTGGCTGGAGGGGCCGTGGTGTAGATAGCAGACGCTCACTGTCATTGGCCGAGACGGGAGAGGAGGATGCAGGCCGGCCTCTGTGATTGGCCGCCCGCTCCTCTCACTCACTGACGGGACAAGAGCTCCTGATAACACGAAAGCCAAGCCCATACTTTCCTGTCTGCTTCAAATCGATGTACTACCCTATTTTTAAAGGGCTTTCAACCTTATTTACAGTGTAATAAGGAGGTCTTATCAACTACCATCGTATAGAGCAAGGCCGAAAATAGTGCTTTCCCCCCAAAAAACCGGGTCTCGCTCCTGTGAGTTACCCTTGAGATGCTGGAGGCCTCAGTCTCGTAGAGCGTAGTAAATGGTCACAAGTATCAACAACGCACTCACAGTTAGCGCACTACTTAACTACTTAACATGTACACACTGTCAGGCATTTTGGAATAGCGATTTACTCATACACAGGTCTGCAGGTCTTGTGTTAATACATAAAAATAAGAATAGGAGACCTAACTTATGATTACTATTTAGTTGAAATAATTGTAGTTTGTGGACATCAATGGCATATCCTGGTATGAGTGTTTCACAAAGGGATTATAAAATGTATACCGTTTTACTAACTTAATGGCGTGTGATGTAGGACTCCCCATCCATGTAACACTATGTAACGTGAGATTACTGTTCTTATACTATCATCAGAGGCATTGGCCAAACACTGAATTTTTCTCACATATTGACACCAGAGTTAACACGGTCAGCTTTAGATAGCCTAAATAAAACTGCTATATAAAAAAAAATATGTTCCTTAGCTTATAGATAAAAAGAGATAGAGAATCATTTGGACCGCGTGGGCTAAAATAGGGTTATCACATGATGAATACCAAGTCTTCAGCTGTACAATTAAAAATAAACTGATTGAATGTATTGTTTAGTTGATAGAAGTTTCTATACCATCTAGTGGTTTGTAGATTCTGGTTTCCGTCACTGTCATCGCGTCTGTCTTTCGCCCACACACGAATCCTCAGAAAATATTCCAGGCTTAGTTTTAATTATCTTCTAAACTATTAATAATCATTGATTTTATTGGGTAAACTTATTATTAAATCACACAGTGAGTTTTTATTAAACTTATCATTTAAACAAAGCATAGTTTAGAAGATATAATTATTCACTTCCCATAAATAAGTTTATCTAAATATCCTAGTAATTTCAAGGCATATTTATACATTTATTTTGTCTGTTCGTCGGATTACTGGGATTATAAAATTATATACTACTTAATATTCTAATATATACA